ATTGTGGAAGAATTCGACATGCGCGCGCGGCAGACGCGCGAGAGTGGCCCGCGTGGTATTATTTGACACGGATCGTGCCACACCAGCACGCGCGCAAAGGCGTTCGAACGATGTCGACATGCGCGCGCGAAGCCCGCTTAATAGCATGGTACGAACATTTTGAAACAAAAAAATGGTTCTCTTAAGGACTCGCAAGAGCGCGCGCGCATGCTTTTGTTGAAAACCCGTGTTGCGAAAGCGCGTGTGTTTCTAAAGGTTTTTGGGGCACTCGATTTTGAAATCCTTCCGAAACCGAAATGTTTTGAAAGACTTCGGCATGCGCGCACGACGACGCGCGCGCGTGCACGTCGTTTAATTTCTGTTGCAAAGGATTCTCGCGACGGCACGCGCACAAAGGCGTTCGAACGATTTCGGCATGCTCGCGCGAAGCCCGTTTGGTAGCCCGTTTGGTAGTAGTTTCTGAAAAAATTGGAACAGTCTGGTTTTCTCAAGAATTCGCAAGAGCGCGCGCATGTGTTTTTTGTTGTTGCGTTCTTGTTGCGAAACCATGTGCTTTATATGTTGCTCGGACAGTCGATTGTGAAATCGCTCCGAAACCGTAGGTTTTTGAAGGATGTCAGCATGCGCGCGACGACGCGCGCGTGTGCACTTCGTCCCGGTGTTTGCAAAAGGATTCTTGGACATTTACGATGTTTGATAAATGAGTGTGCGCGCAATTTTTTGGTTGCAGAGGATGGCGGGGGGAGGCGATTCCGCCCCCCCTGGGATAGTGTAAGCGCATAATATGTAGGATGGACGATGGGGCAGAATCATATGTAAATTGCAATACGGAAAGGTCAGTTTTTAAAACCCCAGAGGGGGAGGGTGGAAGAACCTATTTTTTAATGAAAGGAGAACATATGTGGTGCAAGCCATGTGGTGCAACCTACGTGTTGCCATCCACGTGGTACAAAGCAGCGCGAAGCAATATACTGCAGCACAAGTAAGGCCAAGCAACGCAAAAAAATGCAGGCCCAGACGTCGACAGGGCGGCGACCGCGACCACATACGTAGCCGCCAGACCGACGGGCAGGCCCAGAGCAACGGGGCGGCGACGGCGACCACATAGCCGCCACACGGTCAAGCAGGCCCAGAACACGGGCGGCGACGGGGCGGCGACGGCGACCACATAGCCGCCACACCGACGGGCAGACCCAGCTCCTCGGAAAAGAAACCAGAAAAGTTAATTGCAAGCACTGCGTGTGGAAACATGTGTTCCAGATGAGTTCGACATAGGTATTGCTGCCCCATGTGAACTCAATCTAAATATTGGTGTAGGGCAGGAAATGTGTGAGGGGTTTGCCGAAATGGGCAGCGCGACGCCATGCGGACGCACCCATTGGGGCCATCAGTGGAGCTCCCTGGGGGCTACGAAACGCGCGAGGGGTGTGCCAACATGGGCGGGCCGACGCCATGCGAACGCACACATTAGGGCCCTCGGTGGAGATTCTTGCGGGCCACGAAGCGCACAAGGGGTTTGCTGTTATGTGCTGCACGACGCCATGCGCACGCACCCACTGGAGCCCTCGGTGGAGCTCCCAAAGGGCTAGGAAACGCGCGATGGGTGTGCCGAAATGGACAGGGGCGGCGCCATGCGAACGCACCCACTGGGGACCTCGGTGGCGCTCTTTGGGGGGGCAGGAAACGTGCGCAGGGTGTGCCATCATGAGCGGGGCGACGCCATGCGAACGCACATATTGAGGCCCTCGGTGGAGCTCCACGGGGGGCAGGAAATATGTGAAGGGTGTGCCGACATGGGCGGGGCGACGCCATACGAACGTACCCATTGAGGCCCTCGGTAAGGCTCCATGGGGGTAGGAAATGTGTGAGGGGTGTGCCGACACGAAGCACATGAAGAATGCGCCGAAATTGGACATGGCAGGAAAGGAGGCGAAAGGGGAGCAGGAGGAGGAGGAGGAGGAGGAGGACTGGAGGAGGAGGTGGAGGAAGAGGAGGAGAAAGATGGAGGACAAGGGGGGAGGAGAAGGAGGAGGAGAAGACGCACGGCGCTGCGGATTCAGAACGAGCACCCAGCACGCAGGAGGCCTGGGGAACAGACAGTGATTTCCGTATGGTTGTTCACTGGTTGTACCTTTCTCGCGTGGTCGGGCTCCCCACGCTTCAAAGCGGCCCACCGGCCCCCCCTCAGCTCGCCCCAGACAGCCCAACACAGGGCCAAAGAGAGCCCCAAGCCGACGCACAGAGCAGGCGCCTAAGAGGGCGAGCTCGAACCTATCAACCTCCGCCCCAAGATGATCTCCAAGACCGGCAGCAGGCCCTTACGGGGCCCCGAAGAGAAGCCCCAGGATGCCCCCAAGAGGCCCACCAGAGGTCCGCAGAGACTTCCAAGACGCCCGCAGACACACAGAAACCACTTCCAAGTGCATGCCGAGAGATTCCCTCCGGCATCCAACAAGCTTCCCACCTACAATCCAGGCGCGGCAGTGGGATTGACAGAAATCCGCCAGAGGCTCCAACAGAAAGCCTTCGGACCGCCCCCATATGCATGCCACTTCGAGCGCTCCCAAAGGCCAAAAATTGTAATTGCGTTTCGGCGTTCGACAGGTATTCGTTGTATGTTCCCTGCCCCTTCACCGCCACTGAACGTCCACGAGATGTCCAGGATCGCCCAAATTCGGCCCGACACGCCCCCAACAGCGCCCTCCCGAGAGAGACCAACACCGCGCAAGAGGCCCGAAGAAGGACGAGGAAGAGGGAGGGTGATGGGGAGGCGTCGGAGGAGGCGGAAGGAGATTCGCACCAAGAAAAGCGAGGAGCATCCGCACTAGGAATGGAGATCCCGAGGCTCATCCGCAGGACGGGGGAGGGGAAGGACGACGAAAAGGACGAGGAGAAGGAGGAGGAGGAGGAGGAGGAGGAGAGAGGAGGAGGAGGAGGAGGAGGAAGAAGAAGAAGAAGCAGGAGGAGGAGGACGAAGAGGGGCAAGCGGAGGAGGGCGGAGGAGGGAGAGGGCTGGAGGGGGGGGAGCGGGGGGCAAGCCCAGGACGACTTTTTAAGTGCGACGTCGTCTAACTTGGCTGATCATGCCGAAGCAGGTTGCCAGCTGTACAGGCTGGTGCCTCCAGAGTTCTTGCACGTTTGTTCCCAACCGTCATGTGGTGTTAGGTCCCCGCTTTGAAGAGACAGCGCCCCGCGCCACCTCCTCCTCACTCCTCCTCCCCTTCCTCCTCCTCCTCCTCCTCCTCCTCCTCCTCCTCCTCCTCCTCCTCCTCCTCCTCCTCATCGTCCTCCTCCTCTCCTCCTCCTCCTCCTCTCCTCCTCCTCCTCCTCCTCCTCCTCCTCCTCCTCCTCCTCGTCACCATCAGCATCATCCCACCCATTTTGGCACACCCCTCACACGGCTCGTGGCCCCACAGGGAGCTCCATTGAAGGCCCTAGTGGCACAGGCCGCATGCAGGGACCGCCACCCATTTTGGCACACCCTTCACACGGGCCGTGGCCCCACAGGGAGCTCCTCCGAAGGCCCCAGCGGCACAGGCCGCATGCGGGGATTGCTACCCATGTTGGCACACCCTTTACGCGGTTCGTGGCCCCACAGAGAGCTCCACCGAAGGCCCCAGTGGCACAGGCCGCATGCGGGGACCGCACCCATTTTGGCACACCCTTCACACGGTTCGTGGCCCCACAGTGAGTTCCACCGAAGGCCCCAGTGACACAGGCCGCATGCGGGGACCGCACCCATTTTGGCACACCCTTCACGGTTCGTGGCCCCACAGTGAGTTCCACCGAAGGCCCCAGTGGCACAGGCCGCACGCGGGGACCGCCACCCATTTTGGCACACCTTTCACTCAGTTCGTGGCCCCACAGTGAGTTCCACCTTCCTGTCCCTCTCCCCCTCATCAGAATCCTCATTATCGTCCCCGTCATCGTCATCCACCTCCTCCTCCTCCTCCTGATCACCATCATCAGAACCATAATCGCGACCATCATCATCATCATCATCATCATCATCATCATCATCATCATCATCATCATCATCATCATCATCATCATCATCATCATCATCATCATCATCATAATCATCCTCATCATCATCAGCATCAGCATCAGCATCATCATCAGTATCATCATCATCATCATCATCATCATCATCATCATCATCATCATCATCATCATCATCATCATTTTCAACAACATCAACATCATCATCATCATCATCATCATCATCATCATCATCATCATCATCATTATCATCATCATCACCATCAGCATCATCGTCAACATCATCAGAACATCATCGTCATCAGCATCGTCATCCTCATCAGCCTCATCACCTTGATCATCATCATCATCAACAACATCATCATCATTATCATCGTCATCGCCATCATCAGCATCATCATCGTCATCACCATCGTCATCGTCATCATCAGCAGCATCATCATCCCCATCATCCCATCATCATCATCAGCATCATCATCATCATGATCATCATCATCATCAGCATCAGCATCAGCATCATCATCATCATCATCATCATCATCATCATCATCATCATCATCATCATCATCCCCATCATCCCCATCATCCCCATCATCATCCTCATCCTCATCCCCATCGTCCTCACCATCGTCCCTGTTCTCCTCATCCTCATCATCCTCCTCCTTCTCCTTGCCCTCCCTACCCTGGCCCCCGACCGCTCCTCGAAGTGCCCTTCCCGGAGGAGCGGCAGCGGCAGCAGCCCGTTGCGCGCCCGCGCGGCGCGAGGCCTCCGGGGGCCTTTCGGACGCCCTCGGATGCCTTCGGCGGTCGCCGCCGATGCCCTCGGAGGCCTTCGGAGGCCCTTCGGACGCCTTCGGAGGCCCTCGGGGGCCCTCGGAGGCCCCCCGCGCGCGCGGCTCGCGGAGGCCGAGTCTGCCAGAGGGCTTCCAGCCGCCGCCCGGCCTCGAGGCCCCGGACGAGGCAGCGGGGCTCCATCGCGGCCGCCGCCGTCGCCGCCTTGGCCGCCGGCTCCGCCGTGGCCGCCGCCGTCGTCGTCGGGCTCAGCAGGCAGGAAGGGAGGGAGGGGGTAGAGCGCCTTGGGGGCACCACGCCTTCAGAGATCCGCCCAAAGAGGAGGTCCTCCTTCCCCTCCTCCTCCCTCCATCTCTGCTTCTCCTCCTCCTCCTCCTCCTCCT